TCTTCTCCCTCTCTCTTCTCTCTCTTCTTTCTCTTCTTTCTCTTCTCTCTCTTCTCTCTCTTCTCTCTCTTCTCTCTCTTCTCTCTCTTCTCTCTCTCTATCGCTTCTCTCTTCTCTCTGTCTATAGCCTGTTCTTCTCTCTGTTTGTCGGTCGCTCTCGTGTGGGCGTAGTAGTCTTCTCCTTTGAGATGCTTTTTTTTTTTTTTTAATTCCAAGCCTTCAAACTGCTGGATTGTGATAACCACGAAGAGGATTTGTAGAAGCCTTCCTCCAGCTAGTTTGCAAGGACCGAAATGGACAAAGAAAGGAAAACATAGCTGATCCTGGGGACTGTGCATGATAATGTCAAATGGATACATACAATGAATGGGGAGGACTGCAAGCTGAGCCGATAATAATGACATCTCTTGTCAAGGAAAGGAAGGAAAATGGCAGACAGAGATGGGATAGCACAAAAAACTTCAAAAGGTATCAAATTTCGGATGTCATGTTGGTCTGACAATGACGAAGCTGCAATCGGGAGGGAAGTAGAACAAGGTGGTGGAAGATGAAGAAAGAGGAGAGGAGGAGAAGGGATGGATGGACGGTATGCTGGTTTGAGAATGTCGAAACTGTGATTGGGAGGAAAGTAGAATATGGGGGGGGAGTGGAACATGAAGAAACAGGAGAGGAGGAGAAGGGATGGGTGGATGGATGGATATGCTGGTCTGAGAATGACGAAGCTATGATTGGGAGGGAAATAGAATACGGGGGGAAACCCCGCTCAGTTGGTACACCTATGGATGCTGGACTGAATCCAAGTGAAACTCTTGAGCTTCCAGACTGTATCATCATCCCATATTATATATGTACGTATAGCATTGCCTGGCGTGCAGTCGTTGAGGCCTTACAGTCTCAGACTGTTCCCTGCTGACGGAAGCAGATGAGAGGGATAAGGGGCGCGGAACAGGAAGGAAGAGGAGAGGAGGATAACGGATGGATGGATGGATGGATGGATGGAATCGGGGGAGGGAAGAGGGAAAGGGAGGCGGGAAAGAACAAGAAGAGAAAGAGTAGAAACAAGTAATGAAGCAAGCTTGAGAAAAAGCTCAGTATGGCATAACATAGCAGGGAAGAAACACGGTGACATTCCCGTGGCATGGTGATCTATTTCTTTTTTGGCGACAAAATTGCATGTCAACCATCAAACAAAATAAAAAGGGAGCAAAAACCCATGGAAGAATATTGTAGGTTATAGCCTGCAATCTGCGACCTGCAACCTGCAACTATCTCATGTTCTGCTTCCTGTAAATCAAGACTAGCAAGATTCATCACACTTTCTTTTTTTGTTGTTGTTGTTTGGGGGGGGTGGGGGGGGAGGGGGAAGCATCGCACATAGACACGGGCAAGGGTGGTGGTCCAGAGAGAATAAATTCTAGTCTTGTGAGGAGAAGACCTATTGGTGACTGTAGCTCTGTAAATTCTGTGAAATTCCTAGTTTTTTTTTTTCTCCCTTGTCCTTCTTCCCCCCTCTCCCCGCGAAACTCTCGAGTTCCAACTCTCGCATCATTTTGTATCGTTTTTTTATTTTATTTACAGATTGAGAGCAACATTGTGCGGTGTCCAGATCCGGAAGTCGCTGAGAAAATGATCGAGGCAATTGATGCTGTCCGCGTTCGAGGGGATTCATGCGGAGGGGTTGTGACATGCATCGCACGAAATCCTCCAAAGGTGCACATTCTCCTCCTTTTTGCCTGTTGCCATCATCGCACGTATATTGTACGGCAGATTGTCTACTAAATAACGAAATTAAGTAAACAATCAATGCATAATTTATTAATGTAAATAATTTTAATAAACCGGTTTGAATATAATGGCCAAAACAGCTAGGCTGGGCTGCCGCCCGGTCAGGCG